CTAACCAGTGAAACCGATAAGTGTCAGCTAGGAGCACTGATAAGGATGTACCGAACATGATGGAGTTAATTGTAGTCTGAAAAATAGCGTGAGAGACAGAGTCCAAATGGTGGAAAGTTCTAATGAAATAAACCAAAAGATGTATCAATAGTACTAAGTTCACGAGAGCATTCATCCGTGGATTTTGAAAAAAGAACGCATTGTTCCAAGTCCAGGGTGTACAAAATCTTTGAGCCACGAAGCTGATGAATGTCTTCGGTGCGACAACAGAGCATCTAGGCTGTTTTAATCTATTAAGTGCATTAACACGAGAGTCTTCACGCACTCGTTCTACGAGTTTTCCCTTTACACTTCACAGTAATGATTGGCGTGGTCCAAGCCGAATAGTTGGTGTCGTAAAGCCCTTGCCGATCATCTCGTCTAACAGATTCCTTATGGGTTTACCAAGTCCAAGCGGAATAATCCCAAGTTTCATAAACACAGCAGAACCAGTTACTTCTAGACTCACGGGTGTCATTTTGATGCCACTTCCAACGCGCATACGGATATTAGGTGGTGAAGATCAGATTGATGAGAGGCAATCATAAGTGAAAACGACAAATGCATACGGTTCATGCAATTGAAGCCAATCATAGCAATGTTGGAATCCATAACGAAAAATGGACAGTGAAATGTTTGTGATTGATCGTCTTTGAGAAGCAACTGTTTCTAATTCAGACGAACCTAAAGCGGGCGATGAACGGCCAGTGATTTCCTTAACTGAAATGTCTGTAAGGGAAAGTACAACTGAGGGGTTTATCTGATAAAAGACCTTATTAGAGAATCAACTCCATCACTGCTCATGACAAAGGTATGGCGAATGGACTCGTTAACAAAGAAATCACGAGTGACGTGACGAGAAGAATGTGAACTCGCACTAGCTAAAGTTAGGAAATGTAAGGCTGACAATATGCATTTGATGAATTGAACAGGTGTGCGTTCTGTGGGACGTGATTTTGCACTTTTACAAACAGACTCAATACCGCATTTGAGTGACCTCGTACAACGAAATTCGCAAGTCAGTTGCGAGTGCCTTTCAGAACAAGACCTACACGGACTCCAATGTTGAATCCGTCGGTCACGGAGAGCTGAGGAACAGATGTGTTGAGGTTTTTTTAATCATTTTGAAAAACCGCTATCGTTGGTGGCATTGAATAACCCATTGGAATTTCACAAACAATGGCACAAACGTCTTGCTATTGTCTACAAATTGCATTCACCGACTGAAATGTGCAATCATACAAGAACAAGTGAAATTCAAAACAAATGATATTAGCAGTAAGTCGACTACGTGACTGGATTTACCGATGGTCATCGACAGTATCACGCTGTGCTTGAATATTAGGCATGGAGAATAACTTCAGGTATGGGTTGGGTTGTACCGTGCACGGGACAGTGAAACTTGGCTCGTTCGGCTGCCTCGAAATTGGTGGGTTGGAGATATTTCAGCGATTAGGTTTCATTAAGGAGTCATGGGGCAAAGATACAATGGTGTCCAGAAACGCCAGATTCTTCAACAAGGAACATGCTTCGTTTTGATAATCGTTAGCAGTTTTGCGTACCCCATTGAAACACATCCCTAAATACCGCAATCTCTCACTTACATTGGCGCAATAAGCAGGCTCCCGAATTGCGAGAATCCGTGATGCTAATCTTTTAGACACGTGCTAGGACTAGAAACTCGAAATTCACGCAACAATGATCCAGCCACACAACGCTACTTGAAATGAAATCAGAACGCACAGCACGCAACAACAAAGTCGTATTGTAATATGCGGAAAACGCAAATATGCTAGGATATCGTGTTCGATAGAATAAACAAATTCAGTCTATTTACGACCACCACGTAAGGTCTGAATTTCGCAGAAGCATGCAGGATCTGATGCGAGCAACTTTCAGTGAATTGATCTTTTTCTGACAAAGAAACCAACCCAATCTCCGATATATAGACACGAAACCAAACGGCAGCACCGCCAAGCTCGTCAATGTCAGTCGTGTGGAGCTTACTATTGATCCTCTCTGTCATTTTCCAAACGCTAAGTGCCATGAATGCGGAAAAACCGGAGATATACGGATAGTTTGCAAGCAATCCCGCGGTAAAGTGGCCCAGACATCGGATCAGCAGACGACCAGCACGGTATTCACCCTACGAATCCAGAAAGAGCATGGTCAGTTCGTAAACGAAGATGTAATGTTGCAATACGGAATGCCACACATTCATTTTTGACACAGGAAATACAAGGTCTAACATTTCTATTGAAGTGTTACGATTTATTTGTCCCCCAGCCATCGTATTACGGGTCCATAAATCCCGTTGGTGACGGTTTGATCAGCGACGAACTGATTCTTTTTGATTCGCTGTCTGGTCGCTAAGACCATCCAATACATCCTGGGCCTGACCGCCATCCGTGCTTTGTGCTGGTCTGTTGTTAAGACTGACTTTTAATCACAGCGCCAATGCACAGTATTGTTAGGAGGCGTGCTAATCGAAGCCGGGTTAACGATTTGATGAATGATCGTGAGAATACATCAATCGCTTACACGATGGCCTAAAACTAGATCAAGCTGGCCCACGGACAAAACAGCCTGAAAGGATATTGGTCAGTGTCTGTCATGAAAAACTGTATCCCGTGATTGAACGATCAGTAGGAACTGATGGACGAATGCGTACGTACCATCAGTGCTACTGGATAACTGCAAACAGCCCACGGTTCATACCCAACGGCATCGAGTGGTCGCGAAGTTACGGTCCTTTGAAAAGCATGTGCGTCCAAGCAATGGATACCGATACTTGAGCACAATGCCATGTCAACTCTGCTCGATCGGTGCAGTGCAGAATTGTGTGCGGACGGTAGAAAGCGCTGCTACATTGGTAGACCAGAAGACTGTTTAAGAGTTGGAAGTGCTATTGATAAATTCCCCATTGCAGTAAAGTACCGAGTTTTGAAGGTTGCGATCCTCAATGTGGTGCGTTGTCTCGATGACGGATGCGGAAGGTCGTCGGCCACATACCGACCGAATCCATCTAAGGGAGCCTGCCGATTTGAGTGTGAAATCCGCAAGTGTGTCAAGTATCCTCGGCGTATAACCCGGACTCGCCAACTACCGAAGTCCCCAGACGGCAGTCCAATGCCCCTGAAATGCTGGCATCATGAATACCAAACTGAATAGTATGTAAATTCGACGAGGCTCGCTTGCGGAACGATAGCTGCGATGATTCAACCCTCTGAGATAACGCCTGTTAAGTTACTACACGTTACAGCTTTTAGCAAAGATCAACAGTATTCACCAAACAGAAGTCATGCAGTTTGAACAGGAGCTGTATGACGAAGCAAGCAATTGGTGTAGATCGTTTTAACTAATGACATTTCTTTATACATTCAATTTATTCCTTTTAAATTGTTCTAATATACCCAACCCCGTGTATATCACAGTGAAAAATGCAAAAGACCAATGACTGTGTTCACTCTGACATACTGCGGGCCGAAATTGTTGGCCACAACTCCAATGACAAAAGCCGGTTTCCCATCAGCTATCACGGTATTATCAGTGGCGGCAATTGTAAAAGAAAATATATAAGCGTCCTTATAAGACGGGTGTTTAGCCCTAAAATCAGTACACTTTTAAATTGGAAAGGCATCCGTGGAAAATGTGCACTGTCGACGTCACGCATAACAAAACAAACACAATCATGAATAATCGGTAAAATATTGCCACAAATTCCACATCGATACAGCATTACACATTGCCGTACTGAAACTTATGCATTGATTGGTATACATGCTAGATATCTATGTGATGGTTTTATAAATTTATATTAGAAGAATTGATACTTCGTTTTATCCGAGTATTTTACAGATCCGGTCGGGCACCACCAGTTATCGAAATACAACCCAAAGGAAGGAACACGCAATTTGAAGAAATATATTCTCAATTATCGATAGATATTTTAGTTTGATTTTACCAACGTAATTTTGAGTTGTTCTTGTACATGTTTCCATTGGAAATGCCGTTGTTGTTTTTTTCTGCATTAAACCCTGGGACCTTGGAGTTCGTGATATGAGGACCTCGTCGCGAGAGCTGGGGAGGGCAATAGAAACGGGTTTATCGTATATCAAGTAACAAAGGTTACTAATGGGTACATGATGTCGTAGGTAGTGAGAGGTCCAAAAAATATACTATGTATATATATATATACAAATCATAAAAGGATCTTCGTCGGGTGCGGTCTAAAACGCAAAGTGTGTGTGTTGCAAACTCGGTTTTTTCGCGAAGTTTTGCGTCATCTGTTCCCGTACCACTAAACGAAACTGCAGGCCTTATGCTCGCATATGTGCTGACAGAGTACACACATGTTATATATGTGCGTTGTCTACATGCATACGCGTCTATATGTACGAGGATAGGTATATTACTGAATGCACATGATCGCGCCTATGCTGAACAAGTGAGCACATACATACAACCACAAACGTTTTCAAGGAGAAGTATAGATAAGTGTGCGCCTACTCGATTAGCCGAGATAGACATTTACAAATTGGAGAACGTGCATATGTGGATGCAGTCTACATGAACTCGCCCGTTTCAGTTATACCCTAGTGCCAAACACCAGATTCCTATTCCGCCCCCCTAACATGGGAGCAGCTTAGTACAGGTATAGATTGACAAGAATTTCAACATACACACTTTCAGAAACATCTCATTTGAAAAGTCTGGAAAGACTGGTCTCATCTTCGACAAAGAGAAGAGCAAAGGTTTGGACAATGACAATAAGAAAATGCAACATATGCAGTATGGGGAGCTATGGGCACCGCTGATAACAGAACGGTGTGGATGTTTGATTGGCATGTAATCACATATCTATCAGTGCACACTCAACTGACCTGAGGTACAGAGGTACAAAATACACAGAGTGGTAGTGACAGGATTCAGTCCAGAATTAGGACTTCGATTACGAGAAATCACATTGTTCGGCGTCTCGGTTTGGTGGGTTCCTCGACCCGCAGTACTTCTACTAGAGAACGAATGTCTTCCGTGGACATTGGCGGCGGGTTTAAATGTACTGTGCCTTTGTTCGGAACCTGAAAGTATAATGGTCAGAAAACAAAGGACTTTTGGACAGTAGAAAAAGAACAATGTGAACGCTGACCCGCTCGATGTAGATGTTGTATTCGGTCTCGACGTGCGATTGACATGAGCACCTGTTGCTGAACCCCCAACAACAACAACGCGGATAGAGAACACGACTCGAGACAACAGTCACAGTGTATTCGATGACTGAGGTTCGATATGCAAGTATGTACATATATAGGCATATGAGAACGGAACAGTGAGTAATAATCAGATTGCGTCCTTGACATTCCGACTAATGGATGGGACAACCGTTCGTTCTGCAGTTATCCAACCTGGACTCGGTTTAACTTGGGCGTCGTGAGCGTACTTATGGCACGGAGCGGATGCAACCTGACAGGTTCTTTGTGCTTCGTCCTAACAATAAAATAGGGGAGAGACAAGATGTGGGAGGACCCTCAGTACAGATGAACAACTAATTATTTCTATCCGTGTGCTGAAACATTTATGATCTACTGGACCCTTTAAATATGTGCTTGTATAGATCACCTTAGTCGTGTTCATATCGTATGTAATACTTGTGAACGATAGACAGTCAATACATGTTGCCGACTGTTCATCAACCATATTTGAGCACCGGATGACTGGTTATCTATGTAATAATTGATATTAAAATGCTACAAATATGATGTGATGCAAGAAAGTACTTCATCCCTGACGGACAGAGCAACCTGCATTTGATATCACGTTGTGATAGTTTCCCGGATCAGACGGAGGGATTGCACAAAAATCAAGTATTGAAAGGTTTTCTGATCCGGGTATTCTTGCTTATGAGTTCGAAATCATTATCATATGCATATAATACACACAGTACGCGCTACAAACACTTCAGAGTTGGCATTAAAACATGGGAAAAGCAATTATTTTATTTTACTGCACTCATTTATATGATAGTAAACGAGTTGAACTGTGTAATCACGAAGACCCATCCATTCGTTTTTTGAAGCCAATAACCTAATAATCGGGATCTTGGAGACGAGGGGGGGACGAGATACAACTGGAATTGAAATGAGCATTAGTGAACCTGTTTGCCGCCAAAGTTAATCAGCGGTGTCGGGGGTCGAAATTTTCTCCTGAAGCACACAAAATAGATGAAGATTCAAAACCGCTTGACCACCGATCGCAACTCCAGCAGGTCATTAGCTCACAAGGAAGAAAATTTGTACACTAATCGGACAAACAAACCGGGATTCATTCGGACTATTTCGCTGGTCTCGCAACTAGAGGACTGTCAGGTTTCTCGGCATAGTGCAATAAGAAGGTATGATAGTGATCATGATAATAGCTACAATAGAAAGGACCGTTCCGAATGTGACTACGTTCACAATAAATGCAATTATCTGGGGAAATGAACGGTACATAGAGAGTGGGCATAGTCTGGAAAGGGAAAACACCGTGTGACCGCTACCATAGGTGTCACAATGCAACGTCATGTACCGCTTTCAGAGTGAAAAACATACGGTCATCTCTTTCACTATACTGCTGTCATGTGTCACCAAAGTGCTTCAATAAAGCAGTAATTCATTGCAGTGCAGTGTGGACTAGTCGACTCCATGCAGCATGGGATACAACGAAACTTGTTAGGTTGCTAGGTGAACTTTGTGCGGGCTCAATGCATTCAGAGCTAGTGATCTAATTCACATGGGTGAGAGACACGGGGTGATCTGGCTAGATACCGTAAACGGTGGCGCTCTTGCATCTGCCCATTTTCCACGTGCATTATGTACCTCTACCTTGGTGCTGCTCTCCATCCCGCGCTTCCTGTTTTATTGAGCGACCGAATGGCAGTCAAAAATCAGTAAACAAAACCGACGCACGACTGTGCTAATTTAATGGCTGTGTAACTTTAACTGATCAGCTCCCCCGACCTCACAAACAAAATCTAGGGATCATAGAAGGAGAATGGAAATGCATAACTCTGTGCACTCTAGGGTTTTACACCTATATCCACATAACCAAAACTACACGTTACACAACGCATTTTTTTGTTACCATCACGACGAGACTGCACCTTGGCGTGGTGTGATGGCTTGCGTGCCTCCATGACCCTGTGAGCTATACAGGATGGCTTTTCACAGCCGTAGATCCAATCATGCCTGAAAGGTCAACGGGCAGAGGCCAGACAAAGCTCAGTCTCACTAAGCCAGGTGTGTGGACACCTCTTGGCTTCCTCCTATCCACATCCACCCCTGGAGAGGTGACTCCAGCAAATAAACACAGTGAGGGGCAGTTTACCGGTCAAAAAGGTCCGCTAGATGTACGTAGGAGCGAGGTACCTGGGGCTTCCTCTCGACGGTGGGAGAAGTCTTCGCACTGCATTGGACAGCTACCGCCCGGTCCAAACTGGACACCCCCAGCCAATAAGGTGCTGTCCCGTCCACGTTCCGCTTGTCTCACTGGGTGCATGAGGCTTAGGGCCGATCCCGAAAAGCAGATCGACAATCAACGCACCAGGGAACAACAAACCGAACCGAAATTCAAAGGCCTTGCGTGATAGATCTGTAGAATCTTCCGCACGGGTGATTCCTTCACGCTCCCGCGTTGGATTTACCCGCGCCACTAGCATGTGGGTCAGACTTTTGAGTCAAAGGCTCCGGTTAGGGTTCCCAAAGAAAAACCCCTTCGTCGGTGTGGGCAACCGCGAGGTATGCCGTGCCCTAACGTTTTAGGTACCCATTTGGAAAACCATTTTCCCCATCTGTCTGGTTCTTCTCAATCCCAAATGCCTCCTGTTTACGCCACCCATCGAATATCAATCAGTGTTTTACAAGCAAGGCCAGCCAATCAGAAGTTATGGAGCTTTTAAAGCCAAAATCCCTTTTTCACTCAGCCGCGTTCAATGTCCGCACACTATCAGATCGGTCAACAGATCGTCTTAGCTAGAACCCTTGAAACTTTTAGGTAAGATGTATGTTGTGTCTTCGAAACAAGCATACAAGACCCTACTTTCATGATCTCCCTGCGTTCTCTTGATCCAACCTCACGCTTCACCCTTCGTGTGTCAGGCGATTCGGCATCCGTAGCTCGCGGTGTTGGGATTGCGCTAAGTGCCAAGGCAGAGCGATCGCTTCTTGACTCGATTCCGGTCAGTAGCCGACTGTGCGCTGTACGTCCCAACGGTTCAGCACGGTTCAACAGATACAGAATGACGCATCGATGCTTGTTCGTCGTATCGGTGTATACACCGACCGATTGCAGTACACCTGAAACAAGGATGAATTCTACAAGGATCTTTCTCAATTAATCCATAGTGTTCGATCAACGGACGTCATAGTAGTCACCGGAAACTTCAATGCTCAAGTGAGATCCCTCAACGATTCAGAAAGGCGTCTTTGCGACCCGTATGCACTAGCAGACAATTGGACGGATAACGGAGATCGCCTGCTTCAACTCTGCGCGGACCACCGATTGTTCTTATCGAACACGAACTTCTCACACAAGAAACGTCACCGTCTTACATAGAAACCGCCAACCTCTTCACAACACTGAACCCAGATCAACCACATTGCCTTCAGCTAACGCTAGAGGGGATCAATTCAAAACTGCCGCTCCTACTGGTCAGCAGCTGTAGATACATACCACGCCTTGTTACGAGCCAAACTCTCCTTAAGCATGGTAAACAATGTCAGAAAAGCCACCGACAACGGATACCCATGATACAGCGTCCGCGATGGCTGCAAATCGGCCTTCGAAGCGGAGCTCTCCGATCGTCTGTCAGTTCAGCCACCATTTGAAGGACTTGATGAACACTGGAAGTAATGCAAATATCATAAAAAACAACGTCGGCCCCTGGCGTTGGTTCAAAATACAAACGATCGATCTCGTCGACTACGGCTGCCCTGCTGGACGCACGTAGAATCCCCCCTCCGGATGCCACATATCACACAACGCGCAAATCCCTTAAATGCTAGCTCATCAAGAGTCTGAGGAATGACCGCGAGAAGTGGCCGGTAGGGAAATGGAGAAGGCTGTGGCTATCAGCAATAGTCGCAAATCTTTCCGTCTAATTAGGAATACAGGCCCCAGGAAAGTAGGCGCAAGAGAGGTGATTAAGGAATCTGATGGGACACTGATTCACCATCAGCAACGCCGTCTTGACCGTTGGGCTGAACATTTCAAGGCTCAGTTCAACTGGCCCCCATCGACATCTGATC